GGTTAATAGTAGTTTAGGTCTTCTCTATCCTTGCTGATTTTTATCTACTTGTTCTATCAATTATGGAGAGAAAAGTTGAAATTGCCATCTATGATTATAGACATTTATGTTCCTCCTTTCACTTCTGTCAAGTTTTGCTTCATGTATTTCGAAGCTCTGTTCTTATTTATGAATATGATTTCCCCATATATTGATTTTGTTTTCATTACAAAGTGTACCTTTTTGTTTTTTGTAATACTTGTTTTCTTAAAATCTATTTTGTCTAAAATTGGTGTTGCCACTCTGACTTTCTTAAGCATACCGATGCATGATATGTATTTTCTTCCTACTTTTCACTTTCAGCTTATCCATGTCTTTATATTTAAAGTACATCTCTTATAAACAGCATTTTTGATAGGGTTGAATTCAAATATTTTAAACAAATGGGACTACATCGAATTAAAAAGCTTTTGCATAGCAAAGGAAACTGATGACTTAATGAAAATGCCGCCTACTGAATGGGAGAAGATATTTGCAAACAATATATCAGGTAAGGGGTTATATCCAAAATATACAAAGAACTCATACACCTTAACATTAAAAAAACAAACAACCCAATTAAAAAGTGGGAAGAGGACCTGAATAGATGTTTTGCCAAAGAAGACATACAGATGGCCAACAGGCACATGAAAAGATGCTCAACGTCACTGTCACCAGGGAATTGAAAACAAAAACCACAATGAGATATCACCTCGCACCTGCTGGAATGGTTATTATCGAAAAGATAACAAATAACAAGAGCTAGTGAGTATGTGGAGAAAAGTGAACCCTTCTACACTGTTTGTGGGAATGTGAATTGGTGCAGCCACTATGGAAAACAGTATGGAAGTTCCTCAAAAACTAAAACTAGAACTACCATATGATACAGCATTTCAACTCCTGGGTGTTTATCCAAAGAAAACGAAAACACTAATTTGAAATGATATATGCATACCAGTTGTTCACTGCAGCATTATTTACAATTGCCAAGACATGGAAGCAACCTAAGTGCCCATCAACAGATGAATAGATAAAGAAGATGTGGCATGCATGCGTATATATATGTATATATCACAACAGAATATTAGTCATAAAAAAGAATGAAATTTTTTCATTTGCAACAACATGGATGCACCTAAAGGGTATTATGCTAAGTGACATAGACAGAAAGACAAATACTCTATGATTTCACTTTTATATGGAATCTAACAAACAAAACAAATGAACAAACATAACAAAATAGAAACAGAGTCATAGATACAGAGAACAAACAGGTGGTTGCTAGAGGGGATGAGTGCGGGGGCCGAGAGGAATAGATTGAGGGAGATTAAGAAGTACAGACTTCGCGGTTACCAAATAAATGAGTCACGGGTATTAAAAGTACAGTGTGGGGAACGTAGGCAATAATATTGTAACATCTTTCTATGGTGACAGATAGTAACTAGACTTATCGTGGTGATAATTTTGAAACATATAGAAATATCAAATCGCTATGTTGTGCATGAGGAACTAACATGCAGTTGTAGTTCAACTGTACTTCAAAAACAAACAAGCAAACAAATTCACAGAAAAAGAGATCAGATTTGTGGTTATCAGAGGCAGGGGGTGGGGGAAGGGCAAATTGGATGAAGTTAGTCCAAAGGCACAAACTTCTAGTTATTTAGATAAATAAGTACTAGAGATATGATGTATGACCTGATAAATATAATTAACCCTGCTGTGTGTCAAATATAAGAGTTGTTAAGAGTGTAAACCCTAAGTGTTCTTGTCACAAGAGAAATTTTTTTTTCTTTTTAAAAAAATTTTGTGTATATTAAGGTGATGAATGTTCATTAAAGTTATTGTGGTAATCATTTCATAATATATGTAGGTCAAATCATTATGCTGTACACCTTAAACTTATACAGGGCTGTATGTCAATTATATTGCAATAAAATTGGAAGAAGAAACAAAGTATGTTTCTTATACACAGCATTTTTGATAGGGTTGAATTTAAATATTTTATTTTGCTATTGTTTTATATTTATCCAAAAAAATTGTTTTTGGTTTCTCTGTTCCTACTTTCATGTTCTTTTGGGTTAATCAAATTTTTAAAAATATTTCATTGAATTCTTCTGTTGGCTTTTTATCTATGCCTTTTCTGTATTATTTTTAAATATATGAGTTGGGATTATAATATGAATCTTTAACCTAGTCCACTTAGAGTTTAGATTACACCATTTCACATAAAATGTAGGAACCTTGTAGCAGTAGAATTCCATTTACCAAACACTTCCTGGTTTTTGTGCTATTGTTGTCATATATATCACACCTGCATGTTTGATTTATCTTTGATTTATCCTGCTTTGTATTTTGTTTGTATTTATCCTGCTTCGAGTCTGCTCTGCTTCTTAGATAAGTTATATTTTTCATCAAATTTTGGCCATTATTCAGATTCCCTTTTCTATTTTCTCTTTTCCTCTCCATCCTCTCCTTTTAGACTCGAATGACACATGTGTTGGTCTGTTTGGTATTGTTCCACAGGTTACTAAGGCTTTATCTTTTTCTTTCGATCTTTTTTCCTTCAGTTGCATAATTTCTGTTGCTCCGTCATTTGTGTTCACTGACTCTTACTTTTCCCATCCCTAATCCGCTGTAATGTCCACCCTGTGAATATTTTATTCCACATGTGTGCTTTTTGGCTCTAGAATGTTCATTTTTATAGTTTCCATTTTCTGTTTTTTCCTTTCTTTCCATTCATTATAACTATATTTTCCTTTAAATTCTTAAATCTATTTATAGTAGCTACTTTAAATTTCTTGCCTGCTAACTCCAGCATCTGGACCTGGATTGATTTCTGTTGACTTTCTTTTCTCTTGACTGTGGGTCACATTTTCTTATTTCCTCTCATGTTTATTATTTTTTAAGTTGTATGTTGGACATTGTGAGGGGCATCTTGCAAAGGCTCTGGATTCCATTATCTTCCTCTGGAGGTTATTGATTTTCTGCTTTACCAGACTGTTAAACTTGGTTAGACTTAGAGACTCCAGACTCTGCCACTCTTGCAGTGGATAATAATTGAAATCTTTGTTCGAGTCTTTTAAGTCTTTCATCTGTTGTTTTTTTTTGCTGGGCTCCTTGGAGTCTCCTCCAAGCATGTACAGATCAAGAGTCAGCCAAGGATTTGGGCAGATTTATACACAGATTTTTACAGTTCCCTCCTTTCTAGCATTCTTTCTGTAACTTCCCAGCCTCTCTGCCAGCCTCAAACTCTTCTGATTTCTCAAACCAGTCAGTCTGTGGCTTTCTGCTTGATTTCCAGCTGCCCCTGCCAACCATGCTGACTAGAGAGTGCCCTCTGGCAAAAAGCCACATACAGGCAAATTTCTCCTGCTGCAGTTCACTTATTATCTGGTTATCTGTAAATAGATAACAAACCACCCCAAATGTAGTGGCATTAAACAGAAACAGTCACCTATTATTATTATGATGATTATATCATCTCATGGTTTTAGGGTTTGACTAAACTGACTTGTGTGATTTTTGCTTGGTCCTTCTACTGTTGTAATCAAATGAAGGCTAAGGTCATCTTGAAATCTCCCTCACTCTCATAGATCTGATGGTTGATGTTGGCTTTTGGCTGGGACTCAGTTCGACTGTCAGGTAGAACACCTGTACATGACTCATGACCTCTGCCTGGGTTTTTAATGATGGTTGGGTTCAAAGAGCAGGCATCCTAAGAGGGAGAGCCAGATGGAAGCTCTATTGCCTTTTAATAGCCAGCCTTGGAAGTCACATAGTGTCACTTCTGCCACACTCATTCATTGAGGCAGTCACAAAGAAAAGCCTCTGTTCAAGAGAAGGGAGTTAGACTCTACCTTTTGAGGGGGGAGGAGTGTCAAAGAATTTTCAGACATGTTTTAAAACCATCAAACCTTCTTTCATATGTTGTGTGCGCTCCAATTTCTGCTCACTTTTGGTCATTCTCTAGCACCTTCAAATAGTTACTTTTTATATAGAAAATATTATATTATCTGGTAATCCATTACAGGCTACTCCGTCATTACCAGGAGTGGAACTCCCTCTCCTCTTTTTCTTCCATCCATAGCACTCATCACATTTGACATTTAATATATTAACTTGTTTATTTTGTGTCTCCTCCCATTAAAATGCAAGCTCCATTAAGTTGGGCTTTTGTCTCTTTGGTAACTGCTGGGCATGTAGTAGGTGCTCAACAAATTTTTTTTCCCCAGAAGTTAAATATAGCAAGCACATTGCTATTTATTCCTTCATCTTTTCTAATATTGAAAAGCCTTATTATATCCAATTTTTACTTATGAGCCTAGCAAAAAATGTTACATGTCTCATTGTCACCACTGCAATAAAATTACAGTGATGGAAGCAAAACCTGTGTCTCAATGTAGCCACATTGACAATTTATGGACACCATGAACAACAGTGCCCATTTTCAATAGAATGAGGCTTTCAACAAATGTTTGTTGAATGAATGAATGAATTTTAAACTCTTCAAAATAGCCATAAGTAACCAAATCCTCTTGATGACAAGAGATGAGTACAAGTTATAGAGTCTTGTTTTTTCAACATGGTTGCACTGAGATTCGCTTCTCCTTGGCTTATAGAACAGGGCATAGAGATTTTGACATTTTATTCTCATCTGACTACCATGTGTGTCAGTGTAGCAGACTAGATAACTGGTTACAGATCAAATGAAATACCATGTGAAGTACTTTGTGAAGTGTAAAGCACTATGAGATTATAAAATGTATCAGATAATTACATGCAGTTGTATCTATTAGGCTGGTCTTTTCAGATTTCATTTTGAAAGCATCTCTGTGTGTGTGTGTGTGTGTGTGTGTGTGTGTGTATTTTTAAGGTATGAATATTTTGACTTACCAGAACAATAATGAAAGTCATAGCAGTGTGTTTATGATAAAGACCTTACTAGGTTCCTATTAATATTTTATCTGACTTTTCTTTTTTAGGAACTTAAGAGATTTCAGAACTTTGTAAAATACCATCCTCCTTTTGATATTGTCATTGATGGGCTCAATGTTGCCAAAATGTTTCCTAAAGCTCGTGAATCTCAAGTTGTAAGTACAAGTTTTATTTTGTTATTCCAAATCTCCAGAAATATTTATTGTACCCATTTGTGATCTTCCTTGGGTCTCTTAGCTTCCCATTTTACCTTCCTCTAAAAATAAGTTCCCAAAAGTGACCAACCAGTCATCTAAGATTCAGTGTTTTCATCTCTGGCAAGTAAGTGGCTCTTACAGGCAGGGCAAGAGTGAGAGATTAAAAAGTCTGTGTAATAAAGGGCCAGTTCAGCCCTTTTTGTGTAGCCTTTAGCTAACCTTCTCCTAGATCTCTACTCTTTGGGGTTACTCTATCTTGTCCCTGTGGATCACATCCCTCCATTTGAAATTTATCAACATATACTATTAAGAGATATTAATCATAACTCACATTTGTGTTTTTCCAAACATACTATGTTCATAAATTAACCTAAGCAGTTTTTTTTGTAAGGTAATTGTTTGTTCTGTCAATTTCTAAGTGTCCTAGTAGTTTCTAATAGGAATATCATGATTTTTTATAGCACTAGTGAGCAATTATTTTAATCCCCATTTTTACAGATTAGAAAATTATAAAATTAAGGTTAATTTTGTTCAGTAAATCCTTAGAAAGTGGTCATAACATCAAAAGTTGATTGTAGAGAGTTCCTGGGTTTCAGACTTGTGGCTCTTATTGCTGGCAATCTATGGCCATTCATCTGTAGTTAAACTATTATTTCTTAAAAATTACTGCCAACTTAAAAGCTTTTTCTCAGAGATGCTACTAGTCCAATTTGACCATTTATACTCAAAAAAGCTTACAGGTACTAACAAAGGACAAGGTAGAGTTATAGAAAATTTTTTGTATGCCTTTCCTTTACGTTTGTGCCTGCATTTTTATGGTCAAGTATGTACTTTTTCCTCCTTTATTATTAAAAAACACAAAAGTAAGTTGAAAATATTTCTATCTCTTAGGTACCTGAAGGGCCCTTTGAAGCAGTAACATTGACAAAAGCAAAGCCAGAATAGGAAGCACGAAATTATTATCACTAATGCTTGGTACAGCTCAGAATCAGAAGGGTTCATTCCCATCTAAACTGTGAGAATGAGAATTTTCCTATTTGTTTACCTTTTATTTGACTTTCAGCTTCACACAAAGCACTAAAAATTGGCTTGCCAGAAATATATAGCCCAAATGGGAGTAACTTATGCAGGTACCATGATGAAGATGATGTAGTAAACACATCCCCCAGCATTGTGGGAGAAAAATGTGCACATTTTTAAAGATTTTAGCAGATTTTGGCAGAGAGGCAGAGATCAAATGATGGGCCAGGGAAATCATAGGCATCTGCCACTACTTTTAGCTTTTACTCTTAAAATAATTTAATGTAAGCCATAGTTTATGTGACAAGTAATTGTTATTACCCAGCTTTTCAGAGCACTGTTATGTGTGGTAGTGCACTGGCATTACATGTGGGAAATCTCAGCTTGGAGACTCAGAGACGCCACCTGAATAGCATTTAGTAGCATTTTAAATAGCTTTAAAGTAGCATTTTAGTTTAGAAATTAAGAATGGGCATTCTGGAACCAGACTTTTTATATTCAATCTACCACTTGTAATTGCTTTCATAGTTTGAGCAAGTTATTTAACCTATCTGTGCCTTAGTTTCCCAATCTGTAAAATAGGCATAATAATAGTACCCATCTCTTAAAGATGTAGTGAAGAATACTTGGCACGTACTAAGTACCTAATAGGTGTAACTATTATTGTGATTACTATTCAAAGTAACTTCCCAAATGGAACCGTAATTCTTGCTTTCAGCTAACCCCTGTTTGGCAGTTTAAGATTTTCTCCTGTTGTGTCATCCATGTCAATGGAGCTGAAAGAAAATACAAATCTCTGCCTTAGTATTAGATTTAATATTACTGTTAGACTCTAGGTGAGGTACTCAAATAATACTTGATTGAAAATTGAAGCCAGTACCATCAAAAACTTAAGAAAAATTTAAAATTTGATTTTAAGAAATGTTATTTTCTTACAATTATAAAAGTAAGGCCTGGGCTTCCCTGGTGGCGCAGTGGTTGAGAGTCCGCCTGCTGATGCAGGGGACGTGGGTTCGTGCCCCGGTCCGGGAAGATCCCACATGCCGCGGAGTGGCTGGGTCCATGAACCATGGCTACTGAGCCTGCGCGTCCGGAACCTGCGCTCCGTGGCGGGAGAGGCCACGACAGTGAGAGGCCCGCGTACCGCAAAAAAAAAAAAAAAAAAAAAAAAAAAAAAAAACAAAACAAAAAAAAAAAAAAAAAAAAAAGGTAAGTCCTGTCGTTGTAGAAAATTCGGAAGTTACAGAAAAGAAAATCATATATATCCTAACATTCAATAATAATCACTGTCAATGTTTTATTTCCTTTCCGTATTTTTCTTTTCTTTTCTTTTACCTAATTGGGCTCCAACTGTGTAAATAATTATATATCTATATTTTAATTTACAGTTGTTGAAAGCTCTCAGTAAAAATGAAATTATAAAAAGAATAGGAGAAATCATGTACTTTTAAAAAATATTTGAGATGGGAGGACGTTTGAAGCATATATAAAATTCAGGAACCCTAATGGGAGGAATAGAGAAATTTGCTAGATAGTAAAAAATACTATTAACATTGTTTAAAAATAAAAACAGGGCTTCCCTGGTGGCAGAGTGGTTGAGAGTCCGCCTGCCGATGCAGGGGACCACGGGTTCGTGCCCCGGTCTGGGAAGATCCCACATGCCGTGGAGCGGCTGGGCCCGTGAGCCATGGCCGCTGAGCCTGCGCGTCCGGAGCCCGTGCTCCGCAACGGGAGAGGCCCCAACAGTGAGAGGCCCACGTACCGCAAAAAAAATAAAATAAAAAAATAAAAACTGAAAAAAATTGTTTACAACACATGTGACAAAGGGCTAATTTAGTGACTGTACCAAGGTCTCTTATAAGTCTATAAGAAAAAGATGAACCATGCAGTAGAAAAGTGGCTTAACCCTATTCATAATTCTAGTTATGCAAATTAAAATGTTTGTCTTCCAGACTGGCAGAGATTTAAAAGTTGGTAGTATCCAGTATTTTGAATGGTTTGGACAGGTAGAGAAGAGGGTATCAGTACAATTTTTTTTGGTGGGTGATTTGGCAATAACTTTGGATGCCTAAAAGGTTGAAATTCTACTCTTAGAAACGAATATATTCACATTACTATATAAAGTTATGTGTCCAAATATGTTAGTTATAGCGTTGTTTGTAAGCAGAAAAGTGTAATCAACCTAAATATCTGTCAACTTAGGACCTAATATATGTTGAAACATCTATTTTAAATGAATGAGGGAGATCTGTATATACTGATGAGGAACGATACCCAAAGTTAAGTGTAAGAAAAAAGTTGAAGAGCAACAAACTGAATATGGCCCCACTTGTGTTAAAAGCAAACCAAAGGATTACCCATATATAAATGTTTGTTAGGTAAGTTTGTATCTGACTAGAAAATTTCTAGAAATTACACATAAAAACTTAACAATAGTTAACTTTAGGAGTTGGGGATAGAGTATAAGACAATAAGAGTATTTTAGTTTTTTATTTATGTTTTTAAAATTTTCTTTACAATGAGTATATATTACTTTAAAATTAAAAAAAAAATCACCATCGGGAAAAGTAAAAATGCATTCTTGGTAAATATTCTAAAATAACTGTATCTTATGGATTACCACAATTTTTTAATCATTTCCCTGTTGGTGGGCATATTAGATTGTTTCTCATTTTTCACCATGGTAAATAATGCTTGGAAGAAGATCTCTGTGCATGCTTCAGATGATTTCCTGAGAATGGATTCCCAGAAATAGAACTCTTGAGTCAAAGGGTAAGGACATTTTTAAAGGTCTCACTACATATTGCCAAATTGCTTTCCAAAATGATTGTAGCAATTTATACTCCCACCAACAGTGTATAAAAGTGCCCAAATAGAACACATTTCTTCAAAGTTGCTTATTACATGATTGCCTCAACTATTTAGTTACATTTGTGCCATGAATCTGCTACGTGAAAAGCGCTGGACACTTTTAACCCAGATTTCTTAGATCAAACATTTCTAAAATTTGTAAACAAAGTTTAATAAAATAACCCAGAAAGGAAATATTCTTGACCTTCTTATTTGTCCTCTTTCTTTCTCTCTTTTTTTTTAACATCTCTATTGAAGTATAATTGCTTTACAGTGGTGTGTTAGTTTCTGCTGTATCACAAAGTGAATCAGCTGTACGTATACATATATCCCCATATCCCCTCCCTGTCGCGTCTCCCTCCCACCCTCCCAATCCCACCCATCTAGGTGGTCACAAAGCACCGAGCTGATATCCCTGTGCTATGCGGTTGCTTCCCACTAGCTGGTTTACATTTCGTAGTGTATACATGTCCATGCCACTGTCTCACTTTGTCCCAGCTAACCCTTCCCCCTCCCCATGTCCTCAAGTTCATTCTTTATGTCTGTGTCTTTATTCCAGTCCTGCCCCTAGGTTCTTCAGAACCATTTTTTTTCTTTTTTAGATTCCATATATATGTGTTACCATACAGTATTTGTTTTTCTCTTTCTGACTTCACTCTTTATGACACACTCAGGTCCATCCATCTCACTACAAATAACTCAATTTTGTTTCTCTTTATGGCTGAGTAATATTCCATTATATATATGTGCCACATCTTTATCCATTCATCTGTCGACGGACACTTAGGTTGCTTCCATGTCCTGGCTATTGTAAATAGAGCTGCAGTGAACATTGTGGTACATGACTCTTTTTGAATTATGGTTTTCTCAGGATATATGCCCAGTAGTGGGATTGCTGGGTCATATGGTAGTTCTATTTTTAGTTTTTTAAGGAAGCTCCATACTGTTCTCCATAGTGGCTGTATCAATTTACATTCCCACCAACAGTGCAAGAGGGTTCCCTTTTCTCCACACCTGCTCTAGCACTTATTGTTGGCAGACTTCTTGACGATGTCCATTCTGACTGGTGTGAGGTGATACCTCAATGT